CCCCCCCCCCCCGCCGCCAGAGAGCAGCCCAGGTGCTGGTGGTCCTGCTGATTGCCGGGGGGCTGTTCCTGTTCACGTACCAGGCTGTGCAGTTCGACAGAGAGGGCTTCGCGCTGGTCCTGGCTGCCTCCTTTTTGGGCGGCATTCGCTGGACACTGACACAGATCCTCCTGCAGAAGGATGAGCTGGGTGGGTGCGCCTCTGGAGGGCAATGCGTGGGGGGAGGGCAGGGGGGGCACAGTGTGCATGGGGGAAGGCCCACACTCTCCTCCTCCTCCTCCTCCTCCTCCATGACCGAGGCTCCCTTCTCTCTTCTCTAGGGCTCCAGAACCCCGTCGACACCATGTTCCACCTGCAACCTGCCATGTTCCTGGGCCTCTTCCCCCTCTTTGTGGCGTTTGAGGGTGAGCTATGAAGTTGGGTGTGGAGGAGGCACGACACTTGGGGTGCAGCAGCAGCCCGTTTTCCGTGGTCTGAGAAGTGCCTGTGCAGAAAGAGAAAGGCAGGCAGGCAGGCAAGCAGGAGTAGCAGCATGGCACGCCATGGGTATGTTGGGAATTGGTTTCCATGACCTGGGGAGATCATTTTCTGGCCACCAGCAGCTGGTAACGTCAGAAGCAAGCTTGGCGTTAACTGAAGGGCTGCTTCAGAAGTAAAATAAAAACAAAAGTGATGTCTTGGTGTTAACTGGTTAAGGTTTCATAGGACACACAAGTCCTGCTCTTGAAAAGAGCCTAAGCACTATTCTAGGTAAAGTTGTCCACAAGATAAGCCTGCCCAAGTCCCTTGGGGGTGCAGGAGGGGGAAGGCCTGCCTGGAGCCTGGCATCAGGGAGGAGCCCGGCCGTGGTTCTGAGCCGGTCCCTGAAAAGCAAAGCTGGACTGTGCAGCCCCAGCTATCTCTGCAGAGGCTGGTTGGGAACTCCCACTGACAGGCTGGAGACGTAAACAGGGCAGTCCGTGGCTTGACTTGACTCAGATTATGGCCCCTTTGGCGATTCCTATTTATCCCTGCTTAATATAAGGTCTCAGTTGGGAAGCAGCACACAGTTTGGTCCTAATGGGAGCCTAGATCTTTCCTTTCCTGGACTTGTTTTGGAAGATCATGTGTATCTCTGCCTGATCCGTCTCCTCATATTGTCCTCATTTCAGGAGGAAGCTGCTTTGGTGTGTTGTTATGGGTTGGATCCATTGTACATTGCAGGTAATTTTCTTCCCTTTTTGTTTCTCTTCTAGGACTGCCTTTGTCCGCATCAGAGAAGCTGTTCCGGTTTCAGGACGGCGTGCTCCTGCTGAGCCTCTTAGGGAAGCTGGCCTTGGGGGGCTTGCTCGCTTTTGGACTGGGCTTCTCCGAGTTCCTTCTGGTGTCAAAAACCTCTAGCCTGGCGCTCTCCATCTCTGGGATTTTCAAGGTATGCCTTCCCTCCCACTTTGGACAGCAGGGACTTCCTTGCTGCCAGGATGGGGTTGGGAAAGGGAGCTGCGGCTGCTTGGTGGCCCCAGCTGGTGGGGACTGCTGTCCTTAGAGACCTGCGGGAAGTCCCTCCTGTTCCCTCTCCATCAGGGTCCTTTCAGAAGCACTCCCTGGCAGGAAGCAGGAGCTTGGTTGGACTCGGCAAGGCCTGGCATGGGGGCTGCCACGACGTAACGTGCCGTCTTGTTCCCAGGAAGTCTGCACTCTGCTCCTGGCCACTCATCTCCTGGGAGACTACCTGAGCCTCATGAATTGGCTGGGCTTTGCCGTCTGCCTCCTGGGGATAGCTCTGCACATCAGCTTGAAGGCCCTGGGGGCCAGAGGTACGGTTGGTTGGTTGGTTGGTAGGTGGGGGCAAGCAGGCAGGATGGAGGGGAGGCTTGGGCAGGAAGGAGGGAGCCAAGCAGCTCTCTAGCTCCCTTCTGTCCCTGGGGCTGCCTGACGTGTGCCCCCCCCCCGCACAGGACAAAAGAGCACCAACCCACGCGAGGAGGCCTGTGAAGTGGAGCTGCTCCTGCGTCATCAGGAGGAAGAGGCAGAGGAGGAGACGCCGCCCTAGCGCTCTGCCTGGCAAGGCCTCACGGCCACGAGGCGGGAGCCTTTGCCTGCCCACCCTCTTGGCTGCAACGGAGACGCCCACACACACACACACACACACACACACACATCCCTGCCCGGGGTGAGGGTGGTCCTGCCTCTGTGGGTGCAAGCTCAGCTTCCAGTGGGGAGGCCAGCACCTCCTTAGGAAGGGAGGGAAGGAGCCTGAGCAACTGGGCCCCAAGGCCACGCAGATGAGCAAGGGAGGGCCCTCCAAGGTGGGCAGGGAGCAGACGGGCTTTGGCTGGCACACACACACACACACACACATCCCTGCCCGGGGTGAGGGTGGTCCTGCCTCTGTGGGTGCAAGCTCAGCTTCCAGTGGGGAGGCCAGCACCTCCTTAGGAAGGGAGGGAAGGAGCCTGAGCAACTGGGCCCCAAGGCCACGCAGATGAGCAAGGGAGGGCCCTCCAAGGTGGGCAGGGAGCAGACGGGCTTTGGCTGGCCCAGGTGGCCGGCCGCCTGATATCCGAAGGGCAATGTGCTGGGTCATGTGAACTGCCGGCCCTGCCGGGCTCTGGCCAGGTCAGTTTTCTTGAGCTGGGAGGTGTGGCCTGCACAGACCAAGGAGGGAGGAGGGACAGTCCACGTGGCCTGGCAGGAAGCCACTGTGTCGGGACTGCTGCTGGGGGAGGGGGCACATTTGCTGCTGGTGGGCTTTTGCTGGGGAGGCCGTCCCTGAAGCTGGCTTCCAAACTGGACACTTGGAGGTCTTGGACCTTTGGCTTCTGGAATCTGGGGCTGGAGAGATGGAGGTCTGTGGGAGGCAGTTACTCCCAGACTGAGGTCGGCTCAAAGGGGGGGGGTGTTGTAAACGAGCTGTGCTAACTGGCTGGGAGGGAGGGAGGGCCGGCGGGTCCCTGAAGGCCAAGCCTCCTGCCAGAAGAGAGAGAGAGAGAGAGAGAGAGAGACCCATTTCCAGGGAGAGGATCCCCCCCCCAAATTCCTTCTCTGGGCCACAATGGCCCCTGCAGGACATCGCTGGGCCTCGGGGGCCCTTCCGTGCTGGTTGCTGGTCTCAGGAGTGGGGAGGCAAGGAGGGCTTCCGGGGGCCAGGAAGCACTTTTCACTAATTAAAAATGGCTGGTGGCCGGGCAGACTTTTGGGACTCTAGTTTCTCTTCTCTTCTCCTCCTGGGCGAGGAGAGGAGCCACCCGGAGCGTTCCTCCTCTCTGGGTCCCTGAAGAGCCCGCTCGCCCGCAGCGGCCGCGTCTCAAGGTGGGGCAGCGTGGTGGGTGGGGAGGAGAGCAGGGCTCAAACCCCCTCCCAGGTCTGCCTGTGAAACGCACCCGGCGGCCCCTGGCCCGCCTCGCAGGGCTTTTGGGAGGACCCAAAGGGACTGGGCAGAGCCATTTTGGGTGGGATGCGGAGGGGACACGGGGACTCCTGTCGTTGTCTTGGAAGGCCAGGGAACCAGGGTCCTCTCGCCCCTTCATGGTGCCTGACCAGGGCGGCTCCCTCCTTTGGCCCCATTCGATTCCCAGTGGGACGCGGGTGGCTTTCCACGCGGGCACCGGAATCTGGTCGGGTGGGCTTGCCGGCAGAGGCCTTTCCTC